CCTTGGCGGATCATATCCTGAAGCCGGGCATTAAAATCATTAATTCGACTGTCCGTCTCTTTCTCCTCTTTGATGCGCTTCGAAGTCAGACTTCTAGCTTCGGCATCCAGTCTCGGGCTATTCTGTTGGACCTCCTGAAGCGACTCCCTTCTCCTAATCTTCTTCCCCTGAGACGCAGTCACAGCCGGCATAGCGCTTTGCGTCCTCCTATGGCCTCGCTTGGCGTATGGGCTCGGACTCGGGATTCGAGAGGGTTGATGGGAGAAATGTGATGTTGCGACCGTGCAGGGAGAATGAGGACGGCTAATGGGAACGGGTATCCTGCTCGGTACTGGGGATGTCACGGCGGGCGATCTGGAAGATGCGAAGCTTGCATGACTGGCAGGCTCGCGGTCTATGGCTGATGACAAACCGGCTTGACTGGCTCTACTCGGGTGATGACGATTAAAGTTCGGCGTACTGAGGCAGCCAACAGGCTTGTTGATGCGACGAGCTAGAGACGGTGTGATGGGTTGCTGGACAGGGGGGCGAGATGAAGCACGCGATGCCGTTGAGCTCAATCGCTTTGTATTAGCTGTCTCCCCGACCATGACCCAGTTTCTCCGTATTTCGTCGTTCGGTCGCGAGTCAGAGATCTGTCGCCGCTTTGCAGCAGGTGGTGGTGTGGACTCGGGAGTTGCCCGTTCGTAGTAAACTGGCTCTTCGAGTTGCGGGAAATCTCCAGGAAGGGGGGTGCAATCATAATCAAGTGGAGTGTCTGCGGCTTTGGGGGAATGGCAAGTTGATCGTAAGCGTGTCTCGCGGGGGACATCATATCCTCGTCCGCCTCCAGCATGAAATCCACGGAAAGCACCTGCAGTGCAAAAGTTCCAAACTTTGCCCACAACGCCGCCGATGGTGTTTATGGCAAATGCGCTCCAACCAGCAGAGCTGGGAGAATGCTGAACTCCAGTCATTGGTGTCCAAGCCGGTGAGTCAAGATCGTCATGCGGCCGCTTGGAGCCAAGACCGCGCCTGTAGTCCACGTCGGAACAGACGCTGTCCTCGATGTGTGCAAGCTCTTTCTTGGCCGCTCCGAAGGGTGGTGAATCTATGCGGCCCAGGACGTACCTCCCTTCTTGCCCGTTCAGTCGCGAGCCAAGATCAATGGAGGCACTCGGCGTACCGTATGCAATGTCGACCGCCGAGTTCCAGTCGCTGAAGGGCGTGGAATCTCTCGGCGCCAACCGTTTGCGTTTTGCGGTCGGACCTGGTGTCGCTACGTCGGCTTGCGTATTAGGTAGATAGGTCGAAGTCGATAGCGATGGTGATCCTGGCGGACGAAAAATTCCTGGATGAACCCCGGAAAGTGAGACACCTCCGGTATTGGACACGGGGCTGTCGAACCGAAATGCGTTAGACATGAGGATTCCAGGGCTGAATGACATTGCCAGGATACCGATCTTGTCAGAGGATTGACAGGGCTTTTGATAAGGGCGCAAGTTCCCGAGTTGTGGTGATGGACCTAAACGCAAAAACTGCCCAAGGGAGGCGATGGTCCTTTCGCAGAAGCAAACGCCTGCCAGCCGTTGAATGCGAAGAACTCTTGCACACCTTCAGGTTGCAAAAACACGTAAGTGCGGTATCTGGCCACCGCACTCAATGATGTTTGTCGCTGTATCGCAACCCGCACGCTGAGTCTATAAAGAGATCGTGCCGCCCTGCGGTCTGTCTCGGTTGCTGGGAGGTCTGAGGTGATTCGGGGGATTGAGTTTGGGTGGTGTGAATGCTATCGGCTACAGCTGAAAGGGCTTTGCGACGGAGGACGGCTGTAAAGTAAGTCGTGCTATCGGCTAGGTATGGCTAGGAGCAGCCCTGCGTCTGCCTGACACGGATACAGTACTATGTGATGTGGCGCTGTGTTGGCCTTGGCCAGATGGCGATGGCGATGGCGACGCCCGCAGGAGCGCGTCGATCCCCAGTCGCAGACGACACAGATGACCCGAGGATCCAAGCAGGGAGGGCAGCTAATGCATGTGGCTGCGTGACGTATTGGGGATGGAGTTTTGGACCGATCGGAGTGATCAGATACGCCTGGCAGGCCGCGAAGAATGGTGTTGTTGTCGTCTTCGAAATGGTGTTTCCACGTTTTGCTTTCCACTCGCAGCGAAGCTTTGGGATCCGGGAAACTGTTGCATCCGTTTTCATTTCCCCATCTCGCTCAGTGGCATGGTAGCAGGTTCGCCTAGTGCCGACCCTCAGAGGCTCAGTTTGTTGTATTTCAAATGCCGTTGCTGGGCCAGCGTACACGCCCCACCCCCTACTCACATGCAGCTCATTACAGCAGGGTGGATAGGTGTGATATCCGAGCCTACAATGGAAGCCTGGCTATTGATATTGGACAATGAAGTCGTCGGGTGCTGACGGCTTCAACCTGCTCATCGAGTGACATGCTTGGCGCGGCCGTACCTGGCAACGCGACTGTCGTCCTAGTCCAATATGCAAGCAAAATGCAACAACAGTATATCAAGTCTTATGGATATGAGTATCGCATTTCTTAGTGGATAGAAACGACGGTGCCATCGTGCTACCTCATGTGCTATCGTCGTTCAGCTCTTCGCATTCATCATCGGACGGAGGGTCCCTTAAGTCTATCATGCACCCATTCTCTCTTATGATGCGGGTCCCTTCCACTTCTAAACTGAATCTTCACTCAAACGCCGTGCTAAAAATTATCGTGACGTGAGAAAACTACCCGCCTGGTAGTGATATTGGTCAAGATGTCGCATCGTTCTCCTTGTTGTAGTACGCTTCCTGCTGCTGAAGCTTTTCAGCGTCAACACCACCCGCAACACGTTCCTCCCCCTGAACATGTTTTACCTGGCCCCAGAATTCGTCGCGTTCTCGCAGAAGACTCTCGGCCCACTCCTTGATTTCCGGGAGCACGATCTTTGTCGAGACGTATGCGAATTCGCCGAGATCGAGCGCCTTGTTGGACCGCTTCTCGTACTCCACCATCTGCGTCAACAGCTCTACCTTGTCGAGGTCGTGTACGAAGTGGCTGTCCAACGTCTTTGAGTCTTCGTACTCTTGCCAGATGGCCCGAATCTCTTCGCCTGCCAAACCACCATACACCTTTCCGAGCAGGTTCTTGGAGATGTAGTCCATAGTCTCAGCCTCACGCCGGCTTTTCTCAGGCTTAGCGACGCCATCAACTGGGGTGATGTCCCCAACGAGTGACTCGGCCATGTCGTGGATCAGACACATCTTCATGCATTTGAACAGATCGAGTTTCGGAGCGAGCGACGGCGGGCAGAGCATGCTCATCAGTGACATGCGATACATGTGATCAGATATGGATTCGCCTCTAAGATAGGTTCCCATTAGCTCTTATCTCTACCCGCCCGTTCCGTGCGGCTTGTTTACCTCTGGATCCCGAACCGCCGCCATCCCTCCCGCTTGTTCGTCTTGAGTCTCTCTAGGATGTGAAAGTAGGGGATCGGGGTGTCGGTATTCTCGGCGGGAGGTGCGGGCGTGACCTTCTCGAGGACTTTGTCTACTGACCACGGGCCAGAAATTTGGGCTGCAGGCACGATACCCGGGTCTAGGCGTTGGGACGTTAGATATTGGCGAAGTGGAAGAGGGTGGTTGACCAACCGGCAAAGCCTTTACCGCTGCCATTGCTGGCTTGCGACGATGACATCTTGACTCTATGACTGCAACAGGGAAACAGACGAATGGTTCCGCTTTGACCGGGCTGCAGAGGCGGATCGAGGGAGAGGAATGCTGGCTGATTGTCCTCGCACGCGCGGTTCTTGCGTGAGTGGGGAGGAAGAGCAGGCAAGTTCGGGGGGAGAAGAGATCGAAGGGGAGGATAGCTACAGAATATAACTGTTAGTAGCCACCCCAGTCAACCTGCGTAGTAGAACTTTGTCTGATGTTTGGGTGCTTGGTCTATTGACCTTCAAGTTGTTTCTCAAACGCAATTCTGCATTGATTTCCAGAGCAAGCGATTTGCCCCACTACGATTCCCTCAACGTGGCGGGGCACGGGCAGCTTGTAGCGGCCGGTGGATTACAATCTGCAGGGGCTGTCATTGGGCACTCCCCCATGGAACCTGGAATAGTCGGTGATGCAGGAATCGAGCAACCAATGCCACTAAAGACTGGATTTCTTTTGCGATTGTGACAGACGCACCGTGGTTATTCAGCGTCGGAGCGGTGTGACCTGTCGGACTGATTGCCGACACCTTGGAATGTTGTTGCTAAAAACTGTCTGAAAATGCACAGCAATCTACCCAAGATATCATAGACTTGGGGGTCATTTGATGATCAGCATGAGTGAGGTGGCTTTTGTTGAACGAGACTGCGCACATAATACATTGAAGCAGCCGAGGCAGCTCATCTTATGGAGACTGATTTAATGATTCAAACAATCGATAGTATCGGATGCTTTTACTAGGATTCCTCTTGGAGGATGACGAGAGATTTGCTCAATACCAAGTATGGCAGCGAGAACGTCTCACGTATCTCTAGGTACATATGTAGGTGGGAAGAGGAGCGAGATGTTTTGTTCGACAAAGATATCGTTGAAATATTCGCGAGCCATGAACCACCGTCAAGCAAGCCCAGTCAGTTCAATGTGCGATTATGGTGTTTCCCGTTGGACTGTGGCATGCCTAGTAGTTTTTCCCTGGTACCTCTACGTGCCATTGGATACAGTGAGTGATATTAAGCATGTATGAGCCTTGTGTGACTATTCGGATTACCAGTCACGATATAGCATAAGGTACTTGTCTGTCTGCTGTTGGAATATTGGTGGTGTCTTGGCTCCTGCACCATGCACCATTCTGCATCCTGCCTTCCAGCGGGGCTTCCCAGAAATTTCTGCCCCACACGGGCCGGCTCGGTGGGCCCGACGAACCTTATTGGCGCGACCTCGCCTCAAACGCTGTGAAGGACTTGTTTGCCACCCAGGAGTGAGAAAGAAATTAACAAAGCATCACACCATCAATCAATAATTCCGAATTGGTGTAGTGGCCAACATTTCACGCTCTCAAGCTCTAAAACGAGCAGCACCGTGGAGCCCGGGGTTCGATTCCCCGATTCGGAGCATTCCTTTTGCGATTCTGGCTGATGTTTTGCCACGACTCAGAGTCGCGCTCTTGTTTATATGAAATTACCGCTTGTGCTTCTTTTTGTTCTTCTGTTCCCCCGGTGTATCGAAGCTGTGTCAATGCTGATTAATCGTCGTCAGATGTTTCAAACCCTGTTCGGGCGCGTACTCTCTCTCCTTTTAGATGTCGTCCTATCTACTACATACCCTCTGAGACATGACCGCTTTGTTTTTATTTTATTTTAACATTCCTGTACTTATTTCGCGCAGCCATTCAGCGTACTGATTGCGAGAGGAAACGCGCGCAGCCGCACACATAAATGCAAGTGAAGCTGGCAAGCCATCACCGCAATTCTTGGTCACCTAGTGCAACCGATGCCTTAGGTAGATTGCGATATTCACTTGCAACCTGGCAACCCGATGCGCAGCGTCCGCCTTTTTTTACTGCCTAGCGACAAGCATAATGTATACAACTACGATGTTATCGTTTAAATAAATAAAATTACTATCGTCGCTGTTTTTTTAAATAATAGCCTATGTCCTAATTATTGCTTTAATATTTGATAATACTTAGTTTTTAATGTTTTTAATAAAATAGTAAATAGTGTAATATTGCTATATTGTTTAAATAACTAGATAATATAGCTTACGATATATATACTAGTAGGTAATATATATTTAATAGGCGTATATAATTTAATTAATTGTATTAAAGGTTTAAAGCTGTAAAAAAAATAATATATAAGCCGAAAGCCTTTTATAAGCAAAACTATTAATTAAACTAAGTTTATATAGTTAACCGCATTAAAATACGTATTTATTAACCGTTTATTTTTATTTTAACGTATTATTAATAGCTTATATTATATCGTATTAATATTTAAAGTTTTTTTAATATTAAAATATAGTCTTTTTTATTTAATAGTATTAAATAAAAAATAATAATATAAAAACTATAAGCTTTTAAACGTAACTTAATATAATAAATAATTAACCGTATTAAAATATATGTTTATTAACTATAAAGGACTAAAAGCTTTTCGGGGAAATTTACTATAAACGCGATTAATTTAAAGACTTTAAACTTTTTAAACTATTTTAGCTATTTATTAACCTAAAGGTCTTTAATACTTTTAAGCCGCCTTTACTTAAAGTAAAAAGTAAATAGTATTAATATTATCGGTATTGTTTTATCGCTATTATTTTATCGCTATAAAAAAACGTATCGAAAGTATTAAAGGTATTAATTTAAAAATATCGTTTATTAGTTGCTAGCTTTATTAATTACTAACCTAATAAAGCAAAAAAGCTTTATTAATTAGTAAACCTAAAATAACCTTTTTTTATAAAACCGGTAATATTATTTTTTTATTAATACTTTATATAACACCGGTTTTAACCTATTTAAATAGGGCTTATATTACTTTACTTAAATCTTGCGTGCAAAATATTTCTGCGGGTAATTATCGGCGTTAAAATCGTTGCCCGGAAACGCTTTAAAAAAACTTTATAATAATGCTACCTAAAACGCATTAACGTTATTTAACAAAGCGGGCTAACGTCGCACTATTTCGTACACGGTCTAAGTTCAATATTTTTACTATATATTTGTTTTTCCCCTTACGCTTTGGCCTCCGTTTATACTATTTTAAAAATATAATTGCAGTATATACTGCATTTTTAATTTAAGGCGTTTTATTAAACAATAACTCGAATTAATCTGCCTTTAATTATTTTATAATAGTTATTAAAACGATTAATTTAGTATATAAATATATATAACAGCTATTTTAAATAATTTATAACTTAGTATAACTATAAGACTATATAAATATAATTAATTTCCTATTTTACTATTATTATTATTATTACTATAATTACTATTACTATTTTTATAACTATTTTCATTGCTATTTTTATTACTTTTTTTATTACTATTTTTATTACTATTTTTATACTCGATATCGTTGATATCGTCGATGTTATCGGCTTTAACGTCTTTAGCGTTATTTCTGTCGAATATTATAACATTTTTAAAACTTTTAAACAGTTTAATCCTTTATTTATATACTAATAACAATCGGCTATAGTTTATATACTTTTAAATGTAAATATTAAGCCATTTTTTAAATATAACCGTAATATACTTATTTAAATCGCATAAAAAATTACTTTAATTATTAATTTTACTTTAAAAAACTTACTTTTAAAGTTTGTTTTTATTAAACCGATAAAAAAACATTGTTATTATTTTTAGAAACCGAAACGTCTATAGCGCTTTTTAGCAAATTACGTTAAAATACTAATTTTAAAATCGAAAAAGCATAACATATACCCGTTTTTCTAATATATACCTAAATAATTAACTATATCCTCGTTTTTTAACAAAACGAAGCCGGTTTTAATGTTTTTTTTATTATTTTATATTTTAATAATTATTTTAATTATTTATTTATAGCTTTTTTTAATTTCGTTTAATATATATTTTCCGTACTCGATTTAATAAAATAATAAATAAATCAAATTCGGGCTTTTATAAAAAAATATAATAAAAATAACGTACTATTTTTATTAATTTATACCGTTTATTAACTATTTATAAAACAAAGTAATTCGAATTATGTTTTTATATAATATTAATTATATATTAAAAGCAGCTAAAAGTCGTAATTTTTTAAATAAGATATAACAGGTTTTCCGGGATTATTTTTACTTTTTATTTGTATTCGGCTTTTTTTTACTAAGCCTATATTAATATCTTAGTTTTTTATATATAAATATTCGCCGTTTAACGTTATCCCGAAAGCTTTGTAAAATTTAAAATAAATCCTTTAACGTAAATTAAGCAAATAATTATTAGTTGTTTTTTTTTATAAAAACAAAGAACGATAAAGCTTTAATTTATTTATAAATAACAAAATAAGCATTATATTAAGTTTTTAATACAAATTTAATAATATAGTATTTATATTATAACTCTGATTTTTTTAAATTATCGTTAAATAAAAAGTAAACTTTATAACAATAAGTAGTAATTTTTTTATATAAAAACTTATTTCTATATATTAAACACTAAAAAAACGTCGTAAAAAGGTTTCGCTAAAATATCGTATTTAATAGTAATAATAAACTAAAATTAAGCAAATTAACGCATTTATTTTATATATATCGATCTAGTATACGTTTTCCGAATAAAACTTTATATCCGAAAGTATATTTAAATACTTTTTTAATATAGACTTCCGGATTTGCACCTAAGTACGTTTTTTTATATTTAGCAATATTGTTTTCGTTATAAACTTATATATATTTAGCATACTGCGAAAAGCTTATATAGCTTAGCCAAATTAGGCCTGCTATAAATATATTAACGATTACGTTTTTATTAAAGTCGCATCGGTTTGGCTAATACGAAAAACTTAGTGTAAAAAAAATATTTAAAGTAAATAAATTAATAAAACCGTATATAAAAAAAACAAAAAGTTCAAATTTATTTTAATAATATGTTTAACCTTTTTTATTACTATATACTACTTTATTTTATTATATAAATATTTATTAGCTTTATTTGTGCTTAATTTGCTTATAGGTTATATATTATTTTACGGTCGTATTATTTACTAATAAATGCTTTTAAAATAATCAAAATTCAAAAAAAAGCGCTATTATTAACTAAAACACTTAAACTATTATCTAAAATACACGCAGTATCGTAAACAGTTTTTTTTTATATTTTTTTTTACTATTTACTAATAAATAATAGAAAGATTTAAGTAATTATAAATAAAAAAGCATTAACAGAATTATATATCGCATTATAAACAGTTTTTTTTTATATCTTTTTTTGTATTTTTTTTTATATTTCTTTTTATTATTTGCTAATAAATAACAAAGAAATTTAAGCAAATCCTAAATAAATAAGCCTTAATAAAGTTATATATAACAGCGTAAACAGTTTTATTTCTGCATTTTTTTTTATTATATACTAATAAATAACGAAAAGATTCTAACGAGTTATAAATAAAAGAAAATTGCTAAAGTTTTATTACGGCTTAGTATTAAATAGCGCGTTTTTATTTTTTAAAAAAAAGTTATTTAATATTTTTATTTATTTGTTTAATTTAATATTAACGGCTTTAATTTATATATTCGTTATTAATACGATTGGCATTATTATTTTAATATTTTTTCGTTATTTTAAAGCTTTTTTTTATATTTTTTTCGTTTTTTCCTACTAACTCCGATTTTTATTAAAAATACCGATCTATAACACGCGCTATTACGTAAAAAACTACTAAAATAATAACTATATACTAAATATTAACGGAATTTTTAATAATATATAGTATATAAATCGGAGTATATTATATTAAAAATAAAGTGTAATTTTTTATAAAATACGTATTTATTAAAGCTAAAAAATAGTTATAATTATTAATTCGACTAGCTTTTTCTTATTTTTAATAAAGAAACAAAGTATTATATTATAAATCTGGATAAAAATTTTAAAACAAATATATAAGTACTATTAGTTAATTCTAATTCGATTATATTTTTTAGTTGTTTATAGTAGTTATTTTTTTAAAACGTCTTAAAAAATTATAAAACCTAAACAAATTACGACTTTTAAAAAAGGGCCAAATTTAATTTAACAAACAATACCTATTTTTTAAGCCTTAAATTAAAGTTATAAAAAATTAAACAAAATTACTATATTAGTAAAATTTGTTCGATATAAATTAACGGCTATTTTCTTAATAGCAAAATAATTAAACGTATTTATTTTATAATTATATAGTTACTGAAATTCTGGTTACTAGTAAAAAAAGCAAATAAAAAGATATTAAATAATATTAAAAAAATATTAAAAAAAGATTTGGTAAAAAAAAAAAAAGCTGTTTTAAAACAGTTTTTTAACCGAACGCTATTAATAGTTGCTTTTAAATATTTATATCTTAACTAAACTAAATATATATTCGTTATTACTTTTTAAAAAC